TGAAATTGCTTGTGTCAGGTAAAAAAAAAAAAAACAACAACAAAAAAGCAGTGTATGATTCTGCAGAAACTAAAAGCATTAGACAACTAAATAAAATTAATGTCGTACTCTGTTATAAACTCTATCTAAATACAGATGAATAACTTGCTCCTAAAAGTCCAACCTTTTTAACATTTCAGACAATTGATAATGACAAATTCATAAATGTACGTATCAATCAAACTCTTGGAATAAATAGGAACATTTACATCTGCCTTGTAGCAACAGAAATGCCAGACTATATTTATATTTACTAACTTTAGCTTATAACAGCCAAAGATTTTACATTTGCTATAAACACTGTACGTAGGGCCGAGAGCAAAACTCTGAGAAAATATCTTTACATTTAGTAATTTTACACGAGTGAACGCGACATTGTACAACCCCAATCTGTAAAACGATGGGACGTTGTGTCCAATATAATGAAAACAGAATGTAATGATCTGCTAATCTTATAAACTTGTATTTTACTCACAGTAGAAAATACTAAGTATATTAAATGTCAAAGCTAAAAACGTGGTTTTTAATCAAGTCATTTTGAGTTTGATGGCAGAAACACGTGTCCAAAGTGACAGGGACAAGGAGTGGTACAAATAAACAGCAGTAAAGAGCATTTTTGCAACAAATTAGGTTAACTGGGAACAGGTCAGTAAGAAGAATGGGTATAAAAAAAAAAAAGCATTTTAAACACAGTGACTCTCTCAGAAGTAAAGATGGGCAGAGGTTTAGCTGTCTCCAAACAACATCGAAAACTTGTGGAACCTTTAAGAACAATGCTCCTCAGGGAAAAAAAAACAACTTTGAATATTCCATCATCTACAGCTCATATCATTAAAAAAGTTCAACAATCCAGAGAAATGTCTGAGCTCAAAGGACAAAGCTGAAAGCCAGCATTGGATTGTTGTGATCAATGGGCCCTCAGGAGCCACTGCATTAAAAGAAAAGGTCGAATTCTGTTCTGGACTTCACTTCGGGTTCTCAAGAACACTAGCAAAAATTATTGTCTGTAAACAGTTCGCTGTGCCATCCACAAACGCTGGTTAAAAGCTCTATAATGCAACGAAGAAGCCGTATGTGAACACTACAGTAGTCCCTCACTACTTCACGGTTTGACTTTTGCACTCGCTATATCGTGGTTTGTCAACGCATATCAACATATTTTTAAAAAATTGTACAGGACACGATTGTCAACTTTTAATATTACTTACATGATTGGGACAGTACTGTACAGTAAAAAGTTAACGAAAAAATAAAATACTTCGGACAGTTGCTGCCATTTTGTAGTTTTCTCTCAGTAAGTCTACACTGTATACCTGCTTATAATGACCACATTTCCCAGAAGCCAACGGTGCCCCACCCAGAAGCCGTTTCGTTCTGCTGAAATACTAGAGGGAAAGTTTTGGTTTGATCGGAAAAAGTTTGGACATTATTACAGTGACTTCGGCACCCAATGGATGCAGAGAGCCGTACGGAACCGGACCAGAACGACCAATCGGTGAACCTTGAGAGCTGCTAGCCGGCCCATGAGGACTTCCGAGCAAGACGCGTGCCACCGAAGGTCCGGCGCTCCATCCGGAGACCACCGGGACTTTTTTCCATCTTTTTCATGTGAATGAGGACCTCCGAGCGGGGACGCACTGGTATGTAAAATTTATTAGCTACATATAAATACGTTGTTAAAATTAGTAGGTTTAAGAGTTTAGAACACCGATTGTGGGCTTCATCGCTGCAGGGTACGTCTGCAGAAACGAACCGAGTCGGACCGGAATTGAGAGCCGTTGCTGTGCTCTGCAGAGCCGGTGAGTAAATTTTAGTAGCTACATGTACAGTACTGTACGTATGTTGTTAAAATGACATCAGTTTAAGAGCCAAGAACATTGCAAGTGTGTGGGGTTTCTAAAGCCTTTATATATATATATATATATATACACTAAATATAACGTTGCTACTTGGCGGATTTTCACATATTGCCAAAGGGGGTGGTGTTCGTCTGGAACCGAACACCAACAATAAACGAAGGACTACTGTATTCAGAAAAGCAGCCATCTTCTCTGGACCAAAGCACATTTCAAATGGACTGAGTCAAAGTGAAAAACTATTATATGGTCAGATTAATGAAAATTCCTTTTGGAAACCACAGATTCCATGTCCTCCATTAGGGCTGGGCGATACGGACCAAAATTAATATCTCAATATTTTACGACGAATGGCGATATACGATATATATCTCGATATATTTTTCTTTACATTAAGTAATAACAAAAATAGATTTCTGAGTCAAAGCTTTGTCCCAATTGTCACAAAGGCACATATAGTAACTAACAGCTGTAACTGTACAAAATGCCTAAAAAACAAACTATTTACATATATCAGTTTATTTTTTAGACCTTTATTGACATATATTAAATAATCCTCTTCATGTGCGCGGCCTTCACATTAGTAAGCGTGTGTGAACTGCAGCTGCAGGTCCGACAGACTTCAGCCTCCTTCCGAGACAAACCACGGTATAAAACTAATTTAGCCGTGCTGTCTTTTGAGTCGCAATGAGAACACATTAATGAAGCAGTGGCTTATCATATTGCTAAAGACACTGTCCTTAGCGGCTAACAAGACGGCTAACGCTTTAGTCGTCTTGTTCCACAGTTGAACTGGGACCGTGTCTTTAGCGACATGATAAGCTGCTTGATGAACGTCGCCCTCTCACTGTTCCTCTCTTAAGACACAGCGCGGCTAAATGAGTTTTATACCGTGGTTGGTTTCAGGGAAGGAGGCTGAAAACACAGTCGGAGTGCAGCTTATAACTTAACTTATAGCGCTGTTTTAAACGGTGAAAAAGATTTGTAGTGCCGACCTTTTGTTGGGACTTGTTTTTGGCATCGTCTACAAAAAAACTTTTTTCTGCTGCTAATTTGACAATTTAAATCAAAACAGTATCTGAAATAACAGCCATTGTTTTTCTTTTTGCTCAGCAGCTATGCTGCTCTTCATATCTCCCATGTTTACTTGTTAAAGTCCAGCCCACCTGGAGAAGCAGGAAGCAGGGGGGAGCGCGCAGCTGAGGGGCTGGGTTTGTATTCAATGAGGGAAGAGGCATGGGAGAAAGAAAACAGCAGGTGGATTTTTAAGTACAGTAAAACACTATATCGTTCATATTGATAGTCTCATCTTATATCACAAATGAAATTATCTAGATAATTTTTAAATATCGATATTGCCCAGTCATATCCTTCATACTAAAAGGGAGCGCAATTATCCAGTGCCATCAACATCAAGTTCAAAAGCCTGCCTCTCTGATGATATGGGGGTGCATTAGTGCCTCTGGAATGGACAGTTTACACACCTGGAATGAACACCAATGCAGAAAATTATAAACAGGTTTTAGAATAAGCCATTCTCTCATCCAGCAAAAACCCAATATTGTTTAACAGAAAGAATCACATTAGACAGGCAAGGGATAACATTCTTCAACAAAAACCTCAGCGGCTGCTCTCCTCAGATCCTAGATGTTCAGACTGTTGTTAAAAGAAGAGCGGAAAAAATCACAGTGATAAACATGGCCCTGCCCCAACATTTTGTAGACGTGTTGCTGCCATAAAAATTCAAAATTACTTCCATCTTTTCCCTCCATTTCTTACGTTCAACATTTTATGTTCCTGGATTTGTTCCATTATACATAAATTGTGTTATATGGCTAATATTGGTATGAAATTTGCAAATTGGGGTTGTATTTTGTCAAAACGCAGACAGAGCTAGAAGAGGTCCTCGATCAATCTCTTAAGTAAAAATATGAAGTTGACTGCTAAACAAACTGGTAATTCATTTATGGCAAAAAGATGAACATAAAAGCGTTTACTTTTAGGAGACAAAACACTAACATTTCAACTAACGTTAACTAAGACAAGCTTCCATCATAAGAAAGTGAAGAGCAAACAGGTAAGAGATCATCAAAGGTGAGGAATGTCCTTTTATTAACCAAAGCAAAGGAGACTCCACATCATGTACGATCACACAAATTTGTTCACACTGACAATAAACAAATGTAAGATTTAATGCAAAAACATCAAAATAATGAGCAAACATACAAAGTGCTACCAAACTAAAAGAAAAAACACTAGGCTTCTTCTGAGCACTCTATAGTCCAAACACATACAAAGCAAGTACTGTAGGGGGAGGGGGCAAAGGGAGGAATTTTGAAGGTAGCATAATTAGTAAATGGAAACATCATAAAAATAGGACAGAAGAAAATAGCAGGCCCACAACAAAATGAAAACATGACTCCACAATCTCTTCATCCAACATCCTTTGTACAGCGGCAATGCAACAGCTTTAATTATGATATTCACCACAGGAATGGGAGATCTCGTTATTTCACCATAGCTTGGGATCACAATCGTGATCATGCCAGTATAGCTTTTAATAATTCACCATAGCAACATAAACCGTGATAACTTCCCCACATCTGAAGAGTTTACCGTAGCAACAAAACATGTAAAGATTTTGATGCAGCAACAATGCATGTGAAAGTTTTTTTTTTTGTTTTTTTTTTTAACCATAGCATCACAACATAAACATTTTGTCATGGCAACATTCTGTGGTTGATCACAGCAGCAGAGCATGTTAAGGTTTTACCAGAGCAACAGAGCATGTGAATGTCAAACCACAGCAGCAGAGCATTTTAAAGCATATACAGCAACAATATTTGTGAGCCTCTTTACCATCATCAGCTTATCATAGCAAGAATACGTGACTGTTGAGATAAAACAAACAAACAAAAAAAAAGGTGCACTGCCATGGAAACTGGGTAAGAAAGGCCCAAAGCCTACCAACATTGTCATTATAACCATAGTAACCGCAATGTTCATTGGTTAGTACAACCAAAGTCAGCAGCTGCAGGAAAATATGGTAAAGATTACAGTCTTTAACGGACACTGCTTACCTGTTGATATTTACATGGGGGGGGGGGGGGTGCAATATCTGACAGTCACTGTATGAACACTGGGCAGTTGGGTTTATTTCAGAATCAGATATGGTTAAATCTGGCTTTGTTTCACCAGGACTACTGATTCAAGCAAATATAAAGTCATATATACAGTCACTTTGCTTTAGGTGGAGCCTTAACCCAAGCTTATTTTGACCTTGCGTGACCCAATAGGTCTGTCATTGAGTTCCATGACTGCCGCTGTGGCCTCTTCGTGGTTCTGGAAAGCAACCATGGCCTCACCTGTCGGCAAACCTTTCTCATTGAACTGTAAGCAGACTGAGCCTGGCAACACCTGGTAGCCATAGAAAAAGTCCATAATCTCATCCACGGAAACAGTGAAGGGCATGTTCTGAAGTTTGACAACTGTTGGGCCAGGAGCACAATGTTGACTGTTGGGATTGCTAGATCCTCCTGGAACTGGCTGGTTGCAGAGGCCTTCGGTGCCTGGCGTGAACACCTGCTCTCCACCAGTTGGGCGCCCCTGGCTGTTGTTAGGGCCTCCTCCTCGGTTCTGTCCTCCTGCATTTCCTTTTCTGTTGGTGTTGTCAAAAGGTACAATGCCTCTAAGTGCATCTTGGCCAAATGGAGGTCCTCCAGGTCCTCCACCAGGTCCGGGTCGAAAGCCAGGCGGCTCCAAGATTTGTGCTCCAGGAATTCCTGAAACTATAGGAGGAGTAACACCTAAATTCATTTCCCCTAGCCTGGCAGGCATTGGAGGGAGAGGAGGAGGGCCTGCCAGTCCATTTCCAGGGGCAGAGAATGGCGTCGCAAAGGGGCCACTGCTGAGGTTCCCCATGGTGTTTCTAAGGAAATTAAACTCCTCGCCACTAATTCCAACAAAAGGGTTTATCTGGGGCTGCTGGGGATGGGGATGGGGATTGGAACTGGGATTGGGAATGGGATTGGGAATGGGATTGGGTTGTGCTTGATGGTGCTGGTTGTGGTTTTGATTATGTTGATTCTGGTTGCGTTGGCCTCTTTTGTTTTGAGGTGGAGGATTTCTTTCAATTACCTTCATCTGATCAAAAGTTATCAAATGGACAAAGGCATCACGGCCATTAAGCTTTTGCCGGTGCAGCCTTTCAGCTTTGTGGGCATCTTCTTCGGTTCGCAACTGGAAGATGGCTTGTCCTAAACCATGTCCGTGGCTATCGGTCAGGACTGTCAGAGTGTCTTCATAGATTCCCACACCTTCAAGGAAGGCACGGACATCCTTCTTGGAGATGCTGTAAGGGAGATTTGAAATGTGAGCACAATTCCTAGGGGTTTTCAAGCCATCATGGCTCTTGCTGTCACCCTGTGTTCCTTCACGTTTGCGGATAGAATCAATCTTTTCAAGCATTGCGTTTCGGCTGATTGGATGAACCTGGATGAAGCGAGATCCCATGTACTGCATGTGAGAAGCAAGAGCAATCTTGTATTCCTCTTCAGATTTGAACTCTAGGAAACCCTCTCCTGTTGTGCGTCCATTTGGACCATAGGCAATGTAGATGCTATCTTCCACAATGACCAAATTCTTAAAGAATTCCTTAATTTGTCTTTTGTTGGCTTCATAAGGGAGACCCTTCAGATAGATACAAAACTCCTGCCTATGAGGTGATCTGTCTCTGTCTCTGCCTCCTGCCCCAGCATTAATGCGGCGGTGCTGCTGATTGTGTAACTCATTGCTGTTACTTGATTTGTTACCAATGTGAGGAGCAAGACCTATCCCACCGTCACTGAGGTTGGCCCACAGTTGCTCAGAGCCTGGGGTGAGCTCAATGAATCTTTGGCCCATCATGCCACCACCTAGCCTTAAAGCCTCAAAACTGTCCTGGGGTGAGAAGAACTTAACCATAGCCCTGCCATTTGGCCGACCATGCCCATCCCTCTGCAGGCGAACTGCATCCACCCCAAGACCCCGAAAAAAATCCCTGACTTCCATCTCTGAGCAGGAGAAATGAAGATTTTGTAGGACAACATAAAATTCATCAGGATTGGGTCCTCCTACTCCAGTGGCTGCTGCAGCTGCAACTTTCATATGAGCCTGAAGGCCAAGTGAGGCCAGAGGATTAAGAGGGTTAAAGAGCATGGGGTTGGGGGTACCAAGAGGGAGGCCTGAGCTCAATCCTGTTGGTGGAGGAAGGGAGGGATTAAAGGGAGGTAGGGAGGACATATGAGGAAGATGAGACATAGGGGGCATTGGCGGTCCCTGGGATAATGGAGTAACAGAAGGAACAGGGGGGAGGGTAGAAACGGGAGGAGGAACTGGAATTGTGGGCATAGTGGGCATAGAGGGAACGGAAGGCATGTTAGAAAGTGCAGCGATAGGTGGGGGACCTGCACTAAGTGATGTCAGAACTGTGGTGATTGTAGGGGTTGAGCTGTAGCTATTAGGAAAACTTGGCACCACAGGTGGCTGGCAGGTGGCTGCTGCTTTGCTGCTTGGTTGTTCTTGAGATGAGCTTCCTGCTGCAACTGAGGTTGGGGTGTTACTGAAACCCTGATTTCCATGGCTACCAGATCGTCCTCCTGCCCCTGACTGCACAGGGGGGATGGAGGCTGCACTTGCTTGTCGGTTAACATTTCCTGGTGTGGGTGCAGCTATATCTACAGCTCCTGCTCCAGCTTCAAATCTACGGCGGCTAAGTTCAATCATGTTCTGCATTTCTGTCTTGCTACTAAGCAACAGTGACACTTTGGAGCCTTTGATGGACCCACCCGTTCGCATCATGCCTTGTCGAGCATCCTCATCAGTGGCAAACACAATGAAGGCTTCACCATGTTCACCCCCAACGATGTGTACGCCACCGTCGGGAATGGTGAGGCCAGAGAAGAAGTGTCTGATGTCCATGGTGCCGGCCACTATAGGCAGACCCTGCAGCCTGATGACTACCGCCATACTGACTGCTAAACAACAGCCCTACAACCTGGGGAGAAAGCAACACTACCATCAGATGAAGAGCAAAATGAAAGAGAGCAGTAATTTGCAAATAGTTCTCAAACTTCAAAGGTTGTAAGCAAACAAAAACATAGCTTAAGACTCAGATACTTCACAACAGCTTAGAAACTACTTTTAATGTTACACACATTTTGGATACTGAACTTTTTAAACCAGGAATGTTGGAAAACAGCATTAATAGATTTAAATAAATTGGTCTTATTTTCATAATATGTTTAAAATCATATATCAGATTTTTGTAATCACAACAGAAACTAAAATAAGCATGAACACAAAGTGCCAGGAACAAGAGATCTCAGAAGAACAACACTTTAGACTGAAAGTTAATGCTGGACTATAGTCTCTCATCAATAAATTGTGCATCCTCATTTAGGAGCTAAAGTGTTTTCAACATGCCAAAACATTTGCCATCAATACAATCTGGTATGAATTGTGCATCTGGTCACACATTTTACCAGCTAATACCAATATTTTTCAGAAGCAAGCATGAACCAATGTAATCTTAAACCCTTCAAATCCTCCCAAGTCTGTTTGACTTGTGATTTTGTTTTTTCCAACTAAAGAGTTAATTTTACTGTAATTCACACGTTTGTGATTTTTAAAAGTAAAATTTTTGTAGGTATTTTACCAGTATTTACCAGTAGAATTTTATTTTGTCAAAATTAGATATGCAATGTGCGCTATGACTTTAGAGCATTACAGATAAGTGTGTATATTTAATTTAAACGGGGATAATTTTCTATTTAAGCTCTAAAAACACAAAAACAAAAGAACGCTGTCATACAATCTAATTTAAAGAAGGCTTCAGTCTGTGTAGACAAAACTTGTTACCAATTTTCAACCAATATGATCCAATTCAGCGTTGGCTCATTAGCTTGCTAATTTCACTGCAGTTTTCCACTGACAATAAAGGCATTTCGATTTTATTTTCTTTGTGCAAAATTAAAACTACAAATCTCATGCAGTTTGAAACTCACCAGTGCAACTAAGCAGTGTGTATAGTTTCACTGAGTAACAGGATTTCTGCTCGACAATGAAACCTGGTGAAAAGGTCAGAGAAACAAACATTGTTCACACAATAAATTGACATTAAATGTTACATTTGCTACCAGAGGCCTGTGTTTTCAGAATTTGTATTTAATTGGTATCAGCAAGTACCAACTACTAGAATTGAAAAAAATCTGAAATGTACTCATCTATTGTGACCCAATAGTATTTTAGTTTTACAACAAGAAAATAGGTATTAGCCCTAACCCCATAACAAGAAAAGCCAACTCGGAAGCAGATATTGCAACCAGATAGAAAGGCATAACTGGAGCGAATATACCCGACTATAAGAAACCACATCATGACGTCAAACATCAAATAAAATTACCGGTAGACTTAATTTTTTATTTAAAATAAGCACCCAAGTAATCTGGACATACTAAGTAAAAACTGTTGATGTCATAAAGCAGCTACTGCAGAAACCATTCCAGAACACCAAACAACACCAGGACTTATCCAACAATTACATGCTCGGCAAAATCGCTCAGATCTGGGTGATTATAAATGACCCAAGTCAGCAAGTCACACTTTAGCACCTGCAACAACAATAAAAAAAACATGTCAACCATTGAACGAGCGTAAAGATACCAACGAATAGCAGCAACAGCGGTAACATAAAAATGCAGCAAGAAAAACGTCACCAAATTGAAAACAGCAACATTAGTATCATGTAAACCACAGCAAATTTAAGAGATTACCAGCACAGCATAAAATACAGCAGCTGATCAGTAAAGAAATTAAGCAGCAAGAATAAAGAGTAACAATTTAGAAAATGGTGACAAAAAGCCGCTGTCCACCTGAGTAGTAATAAACAGAGCGATGCTTGCAGTTCACACAATCCACCGTTTCACCATTTTACATCGGACAGGTCCGCAAAGTCTGTCACTCCACTTTCTGGGTCATTTAAAACCAACATCAAGCCCGCACGGCGCCACGCATTTTATAATGACACTTGGCAACATTATCATCCTTACCAATATTAAGAGTTCAACAATAGCGCGTACAAAATCACAAGATCTTCATTTAAACATATTTTCAGTGCTCCAGTTATCACCCACTGATTACAAGAAAAAGAAGGCGAAACAAACAGCTTAAATAAGTTCAACAATGACTGAAAGGAAAGGGCAACAGCTAACACCAACATCAACTTGAGAATCCTGTGGAAGGAGAACATTTTCAACCAAAGAAGCCTTTTAGAGCCTGGAACAACAAGAGACAGAAAGACATTTTCTGCAAACAGAGAGAAAACAATAAGTACGGTGAATCAAAAGCAGGTGGTTGAAGCAAAACGTTCTCAAAAGCTGTCTTATACACAACTACGTGTGTTTTAGTTGATATCCAACAGCAGCAAAGAGTGCATTTCCAGTGCAATATTTATGAGAAACAGTGGAACATCTCAATCAACTCACACAAAAACAGAATCGATTTTTAAAACCAGTATGAACTGGATTCAACTTACCAGCAAATAGGACAAATACCTAATCCAAAACATAACGCAGCATTTGCAATTAATCAATCAATACCAGATTTTTTTAATTTATTTCACAACTCATAAATTATACAATTCTTCTTGCACAGACCTCTTCTGACTCACAATGTGCACAACGATCCAGAGCACGAAATCAAAGACAGCTAATTGGTTTTTTTTTTTGTCTGTGTTCAGCATCCAGTTTACCAACAACGCTGTAGTCTTGCACATTTAACGACAATTACAGGTTATAATATGCTGTTTAACTGTTGTATTGATATTTTTAACTGGACTACTTAGCACAATCCAGCGAAGTGAAAAGAAATGAAAATGCACCTCAACAAAAAATGTTTACAACAACGTGTACTAGAGGGCTAATGGGATGTATCACAATTATTTAATTGGGTATTTTTGGCATCCTGATCAGGAGGCTGAGCTTATATTTACAGTATCTTGTGGCCGGTGACTAAGCAAATACCATATATTAATCTTCTTTGTATACTCAAAGAAACAGGAAGAGCAAGAGCAGACAGGAAAGAACAGAAAATTTAAAAGGCAACTTATAGCAATGAAAAATTCTTCTTTCGGCTTTTCCCTCTTCAGGGGTCACCACAGCGAGTCGTCCTCCATCTCACACTGTCCTCACTCCAACCACCTCCATGTCCTCTCTAACTGCATCCATATGTCTCCTCTTTGTCTTTTTCTTGGCAGCTGCATTTCTAACATCCTTCTACCTACAGTGCCTTGCGAAAGTATTCGGCCCCCTTGAACTTTTCAACCTTTTGCCACATTTCAGGCTTTAAACATAAAGATATAAAATGTTAATTTTTTGTGACGAATCAACAACAAGTGGGACACAATTGTGAAGTGGAATGAAATTTATTGGATGTGTCAAACTTTTTTAACAAATAAAAAACTGAAAAGTGGGGCGTGCAATATTATTGGGCCCCCTTGCGTTAATACTTTGTAGCTCCGCCTTTTGCTGCAGTTCCAGCTGCAAGTCTCTTGGGGTTTGTCTCTATCAGTGTTGCACATGGAGAGACTGAAGTTCTGCCCATTCTTCTTTGCAAAACAGCTCGAGCTCAGTGAGGTTGGATGGAGAGCGTTTGTGAACAGCAGTCTTCAGCTCTTTCCACAGATTCTCAATAGGACTCAGGTCTGGACTTTGACTTGGCCATTCCAACACCTGGATACATTTATTTGTGAACCATTCCATTGTAGATGTGGCTTTATGTTTTGGATCATTGTCTTGTTGGAAGATAAATCTCCGTCCCAGTCTCAGGTCTCTTGCAGACTCAAACAGGTTTTCTTCCAGAACGGTCCTATATTTGGCCCCATCCATCTTCCCATCAGTTCTGACCATCTTCCCTGTCCCTGCTGATGAAAAGCAGGCCCAAACCATGATGCTGCCACCACCATGTTTGACAGTGGGGATGGTGTGTTCAGGGTGATGAGCTGTGTCGCTTTTACGCCAAACATATCATTTTGCATTGTGGCCAAACAGTTGGATTTTGGTTTCATGTGACCAGAGCACCTTCTTCCACATGTTTGGTGTCTCCCAGGTGACAAACTTTAAACAACACTTTTTATGAATATCTTTGAGAAATGTCTTTCTTCTTGCCACTCTTCCACAAAGGCCAGATTTGTGCAGTGTACGACTGATTGTTGTCCTATGGACAGACTCTCCCACCTCAGCTGTAGATCTCTGCAGTTCATCCAGAGTGATCATGGGCCTCTTGGCTGCATCTCTGATCAGTCTTCTCCTTGTTCCAGATGAAAGTTTAGAGGGACGGCTGGGTCTTGGTAGATTTGCAGTGGTCTGATACTCCTTCTATTTCAATATGATTGCTTGCACAGTGCTCCTTGGGATGTTTAAAGCTTGGGAAATCTTTTTGTATCCAAATCCGGCTTTAAACTTCTCCACAACATTATCTCAGACCTGCCTGTTGTGTTCCTTGGTCTTCATGATGCTCTCTGCGCTTTGAAAAAAACCCTGAGACTATCACAGAGCAGGTGCATTTATACAGAGACTTGATTACACACAGGTGGATTCTATTAATCATCATCAGTCATTTGGGACAACATTGGATCATTCATAGATCCTCACTGAACTTCTGGACTGAGTTTGCTGCTCTGAAAGTAAAGGGGCCCAATAATATTGCACGCCCCACTTTTCAGTTTTTTATTTGTTACAAAAGTTTGACACATCCAATAAATTTCATTCCACTTCACAATTGTGTCCAATTTGTTGTTGATTCTTCACAAAAAATTTACATTTTATATCTTTATGTTTGAAGCCTGAAATGTGGCAAAAGGTTGAAAAGTTCAAGGGGGCCGAATACTTTCACAAGGCACTGTACATACCCCCTATCCCTCCTCTGGACATGTCCAAACCATCTCAGTCTGGCCTCTTAACTTTATCTCCCAGTCCTTCAACCTGTGCTGTACCTCTGATGATCTCATTCCTAATCTTATCCATTCTTGTGACTCGTAAGGAGAACCTCAACATCTTCATTTCTACTACTTCCAGTTCTTTCTCCTGCATTTTTGTCAACGCCACTGTCTCTAGTGTAGACAATACAACATAGCTGGTCTCATCACTGTCTTGTCTGTTCCTTTGACCGACACCCTTTTGTCGCAAATCACTCGTGAAACTTTTCTCTATCCACTCCATCCTGCCGGGACTCTTTTTTTCACCTCTTTACCACATTCCCCATTTTCATGGACAGTGGACCCCAAGTCCTTGAGGTCCTACACCTTTGTGACCTCTGCTCCTTGTAGCCTCACTGTTCCATCTGTTTTCCTCTCATTCACACACACATACTCTGTCTTACTACGACTGACTTTCATTCCTCTTCTTTCAAGTGCATACCTCCACCTCTCCCAAGTTCTCTTTCACTTGTTCCCTGTTCTCACCACAGATCATGTCATCTGCAAACATCATAGTCCATGGGGATTCCTGCATAACCTCATCTATTATTCGGTCCATCACTAGAGCAAACAAGAAGGGGCTCAGAGCTGATTCTTGATGCACTCCCACCTCCACCTTGAAGCTGTCACTCCACATCTCACCACTGTCCTGCTGTCCTCATACATGCCCTGTACCAGTCTAACACTTCTCTGCCACTCCAGATTTCCTCATGCAATACCACACCTCCTCCCTCAACACCGTTATACCAGTTTCCCCTACCGTTATGCAAGCGGGGCACCCCGCCAACAAAACTGAGCACCCCGCCTACCAAACCGAACTGCACCCCCCCCAACACACACACACACACACACCAACAAAGCACTAAGCTAGTGGCGTGCAATACAGACTGCTAGCTAAAAAGCTAAAAGCAGCACTGACGCTGCATCTTCCCTCACGCTGAATCCCCACTATGTCCCCCTCCCCACCCCATCGACAAAAATCATGGCAAGTTATCTAGGGGAAATACTGCATGCTTGTTCTATATTCACAAAAACACAACGAGGTTCTTTCTGACCTTCTCTGTACTTCATCAGCATACTCAAACCAACAATGGCATTTGTGGTGCCCTTTCTCAGCATGAAAACCATAAGGCTGCTCACAAATTGTCACCTTTTGTCCAAGTCTTGCTTCCATAATTCTCCCAGATCTTCATCATGTGGCTCATCAATTTATTTGCCCCATAGTTGCTACACTACTGCACATCCTTTCCAGCCTGATCCCTCTGTTCTGCCAATTGGTACAAGCCCTTCTCGGCCTCTTTAGTGTCCAGCCTCCCATACAACTCATCATACACCTTCTGCTTTGCCTTTGCTAGCTCTCTCTTTGCTCTATGTTGCATCTCCTTATATTCCTGTCTCTTCGCTTCAGTCCTCTCACTGTCATATTTCTTCTTGGCTATCCTCTTTTTTTTTAATAGCTTCCTGTACTTCACTATTCCACTACCATGTTTCGTTCTCTTTTCTCTGTCCAGATGTCACACCAAGTACCTTCCAGCCGGTCTCTCTAATTACTGTTGCTGTAGTATTCCAGTCATCTGGAAGATCTTTCTTACCACCCAGAGCCTTTAACTGCTAATCTCTGAACTCCTCACAACATTCTTCCTTCCTCAGTTTCCACCATTTGGTCTTCTCTGATTTTACTATTTTTCTCTTCTTCACAACAACAGCCATTCTACACACAACATCCAAAGCTGTGTGGCCACGCGCTCCCCTGCCACAACTTTATAGTCTCCCTCCAGTTTCCTCTTTAAGACAGAATGTAGATGACCTGTGTATGCCTGCCTCTTATGGAAACAAGTGTTGAGTACAGCCATTTCCATTCTCTTGCTAAAATCCACCACCATCTGTCCTTCCTGGTTCCTTTTCTTGATACCAAACCTGCCCATCACTATGTCACTTCATCCAGATCCTTCCAAAATGTATATTCTCCTCTCCATCACATCCAACCTGTGGAGCATAACCACTGACAACATTTAGCATCAGACCTTCTACTTCTACCTTCAAACACATCACCCTGATACTATTTTCACCTCTACTACATTATTTGCCAACTCCTCTTTCCGGACCACCCCTACTCTATTTCTCTTTTAATCCACATTTTGGTAAAATAGTATAAACCCTTCTGCAATGCTACGAGCCTTGCTGTCCTTCCACTTTGTCTCTTGGACACATAAAACATCTACCTTCCTTCTCTGCATCATGCCAGCCAACTCTTTGCCTGTCATTGTCCCCACATTTAGAGTCGCAACCCTTTCTCCTTGCTCTTCTCTTGTCTCCTGACACATTTCCCTCCTCGTAGTCTTGGACTGACAGCAGCACAATTTCCACCGGCACCCTGTTTGTCAACAGCACGGGTGGCGGACGTTGTTAACCTGGGCCCGATCAGGTAAGGTGTTGCTTAGATGAACTCGCATGTTAGTTTCGACACGTCTGTACATTGGTTTATACTCCCCCTAGCAGCTACGAATAATACGACACAATATTTAGACAAACCAAAATAAATTTTACAATAGCAATACACACTATGCAGAATGTCAAACCCTCAGCAATCATTTACTAATTATTAAATGTAACTAACTAGCTCCCAGCAGTGTTTTTGGCTTAGCTTCGCTTCTTAAGATGCTAGCGTTCCGTTAGCAACTTAGCCGCTAGTAAAACCTGCTTTGTTTGCGTGTTTTGGGAGCAGAACAGCAAGCAGGATCCGTGCTTTCAGAGTCACTGGAACAACGTCATTAAACGACCTATCGCTTGTGAATTCTTACCGAGAAATTTGTCAATTAGCATACAGAGATTTGACTCTTAAACCGAAGTCTTTTCTTCTCCCCTTTTTGCAGCTGCAGGCTTCTTCTGCACGAAATGTCGGCTCAAACATCGCGATAACTGAAGCGGTCTCGCGAGAACATGCCGACGATGTCATTTTTTGAAGTTATATCGCCCCCTGGTGGCTGGAAAGGCTTAAATGCGTACTCCTCATTTTCACTGCAATAAAAATGTCACAAAATGAAACTCGATTATAAATAAATAAGTAAATAAATTTTGAATTAAATAAAATAAATCTTGAAATAAATAAAAAATAAATCTTAGAAAAAAAACTACAGGTAAACATTTTCTATTTAAATGTTTTATTTCATGGGAACATTTGTTCATTTATTATAAATTTATTAATAATAAAAAAAACACTTTATTTAATTTTGAATTAAGTGGCTCAATGCTTCTACATATTTCATACAAAATTAGATACATTTGATACATTATATTAATTACAATTTTTCAGTGAAAGACTTCTTAAGATGTATGCTGGTGGTCAAAAATACAAAATAAGGTGTTAAATATGGCATAACTTTGAATTAACTGCACAGTAATGTATCCAGATTTATTTATTTTTCCACTTAAGTGTGGTTTCTTGTAATTCTCAGTTATGGATTATATGTGTGCTTATCAAGAATATGATGTATGAATATGTGCTTGGTGTTCCTATTGAGTTTGTGGATTCATATAAATACTTGGGAATATTGGTTGATGCATATCTCTCTTTTAAACCATGTGTCAAAAACTTTAATAAAGAAACTGAAATTAAAACTAGTTTATTGTTATTGTCTGTACTTTACATTATCTTTCTGGAACAGGTTTCTCTTGTAAATGAGTCCTCGGGGCTCATTGAGACTAGCCTGTATGAATAAATGTTGAATGAATGATAAAAGTATATAATCTTCTGTATATAAATAAACTAAAGGCAACAATAAAGCAAAAACGATTTTCAATAAGAACTATAATTTGTTGTATGTGGATTAAAATGTAATTTGAGTTGATAGATTTACACAAAGAAAAAGTTGCATTAGTTGTTAACTGAGGAGATGGAGACGGAGATGATCGTGGACTTCAGAAGGAACAAGCACACCTACACCCCCCTGAACATAAGAGGATGTGCGATGGAAGTGGTCTCCAGCTATAAGTACTTGGGTGTATGACAACCTCAGCTGGAGCAACAACACCACCAGGCTGATCAAGAAAGCTCATCAGAGACTCTACTTCCTCAGACGGCTGAGGCGAGCTGGTCTGGGAAGCTCAGTCCTCACCTCCTTCTACAGGTGTGCAGTGGAGAGCATCCTGTGCTCGAGCATCAACGTGTGGCATGGAGGCTGCACAGCTGCAGAAAGAAAAGCTTTGCAGAGAGTGGTGAAGGCTGCACAGAAGATGTTGGAGTCAGGCTTCCCACCATCACAGACATCTACACCTCTAAATGCAGGAAGAGGGCCAACTGCATCATGAAGGACCCCACTCACCCAGCACACATTTTGCCCTGCCCCCCTCAGGAAGATTAAGGAGCATGCTGATCCGTTTCATGTTGCTGTGTTCATGCATGCTCATCTGCTCACAAACTCACGTTTTTATGCTAATAGTGCTTATGGATGATGTTTTTCTTAGTTCATATTTTAGATCTTATTACGGTTTTTCTTTTACATTTTATTGTTGGATGTAACTGGGACCCTGTGTACATAATCTCGTTCCACCACATGCACCACATGTGGTGCGAATTACGAATCTCTCTGAATCTCTAATCAAATAGTTTCAGAAAATACAAAATTACAATTATTAATTGCAACATTTCTTTTATTGTATGCTGATGTGAACTGTGTAACAGTGGAAGCGTTAATAAATTACAAGTTTGAGACTCAGACATCCAAAAAAAAAAAACATTAAAAAAAAAAATGATGTTGACAACTTTCAGGTTTCCTTCTGCGGACATTGTCCTCAATCATGGCTACCATCTAAAGTTTCCTTTGGTGGTTTAAACCTGGACTGTAGCTTTTTTGTAGTTTCACACTAAATAAACTGATGCTGCCAATGCTGTTCAACTAATGATCCAGGCAACTTACCCAAATAAAACTGATGGAGAAGACAGAAACATTAGAAACATGAAGGTATCCAACCTGCCAGTCAGTAAAAACTAGAACTTTTAAGTATTAGTTGACAAATCAACACAATCTGAACGAGTGAAATGACTCCTGCTGCCTTCTCCAGCTTGTTTTTAATCATCATGAAGCTCCAGTCAGTCACCGGTCATTTACTGACGGCAGGTGATCAGGCTCACCCTATTACGCAATGTTAAAAAAAAAAAAAAAGGCTAAACAAAGAGTTCACCACTCATGGTTTCGTGTTTACATCAGTAACAAACAGCAATTAAGATGTACAACATTTTGATCAACTTCTGTTTCTTGAACACGCATCAGATTTGATGCACTTCCTTTATGGTTTCGGCACAATTCCCCACAGGAAGCGAGAACTAACAGAAGCGTTGGTTAACCAGCTTCATAATGGTAAGATGATGGTGAAAGAGGTAAAGAGTTCAGTAAATCAGTGTAACACAAACAGGTGTTACGCTGTAAAAACGACAATTTACTGCAACTGTGTAGAGATGGGTATTTGCTGATTTGTGGGCTCAACGTGAAGGGGGAAAAAAAAAAAAAAAAAAAAAAAAAAAGCACGAGCTGGCACAAAATAAGCCAGATATTTTTATTTTAACAATATTTTCATCTGTGTAAAAGTTTCGTCTCTCCTTTCTTACATTTTGTTCAGAAATGGCACGTGATAAATATTCTGCAGCTCGTTTTCTCCATCACTTTTTCCCTCAGCGGTCAAACAAGCTAAAGTTCTGCGGGCCAGCTTCTTGTTGTCAAACCTCGAGTTGCCAGCAGTTCCTTCACAGTCCTCACTGAACAGTTTACACATTTTTTGTCCCCAATAACCCCAAAGCTGCGCACTTTGGAAAAGCCTCACAGAAACGGTTTTGTTTTTCGACTTTGAGCAACATCTGGAGGAGCTTCAGCTACAAACAGACTTCAAGTCGGACAGGAAGTTTGTGCGTGTTTGTGTCGGATTGTTCCAAGGATCTCTTGGAACCGTAGGAAGCAGACAGGAAGTGGACGGAGCTCAATGCTGCGTCCACTTGATGCTCTTCAGGTCAACGCCTTCCTGGAACATCTCCCATAAAGGACTTCAAAACAAACAGAGAAGGAAAAAGAAACGTTAGTTAAACTTACTGCAGCAGATTTGTGCGTTTTGCACCAAGAATCTGCAGCAGAGAACGGAACAACACTGACAACACCAACTGGAGTTTTCACTTTCTTGGACCAAAACTGAAACTTGCGTTATGTACATATTAATAATTTTAATAACAGTAAACGGTCGCAGTTTGACTAGTTTTTTTAGAGTGAATGTTAAAACAAAGACCGTCCACTATTTCAAAAAGTACCCTGGTTTATATTTTTAAATTAACATTTTATTGTTTTTAAATGTTCTGTAGAAATAAACTTTAATCTCTAACTTGATTTGTTACCTAAAGTATCGGATATTAGTTGTAATAAGACTGTGTTTAAATCAACTCAATGTTATTGATTAAAATGATCAGAAATAATAACCAGAAAACAGATATCAGGAAACAACTGCATATATGATAACAGGTTTCCTGTTTTTTAATAGTCTGGTTCCTGATTCAACAATATACAAAGAAGACGGTCGCAGCTAATTTGGACCTCGTCAGGCTGCTGCCTATGTGAAGGTTGGTTCGTGCTTTGAGGGCTCAAAATCAGCTGATTTACGAGCTAAACCGTAAGATGGAAAAGTGACTCGTCAACATGGAAACGACCTAGAGAAGGCTCGTAAGCACGGACCAGTAGAATGCACCCTAACCTGACCATTTCGGACCTTGGAAGTACCAGTAAAAATCCAATGCTGACGGGAAAATAAGTCTGCCTGAAAAAAAAAATCAACAATTGTGGATTATCTGAATCAGACTTCCCGGTTAACCTCGAAACAGGCGACTTATCAGTTTCTCCTGGGAAATGTGTAAACTAAAAAAAAAGCTTTGTCTATCGCATTATTACCAAATATTAGCAAAATAAAAGCCGAGCTGAACTGACCTCATCTCTCGGAGCCTGCGGACCTGCTGGATGCATTTTTCTGCCGTGTAGTCGACCTCTTCTTCTGTGGTGAACCTGCCAACACCGAACCTACAACCAAAACATGACATCATTCACCTGCAAAGGTGCTTTGTTCTGAAGAAATTCTGCTTTTTACAGAGTGTTACAAAAATATATATATTACAAAAAATAAAATAAAAGTAATCAATTTTGAATGGCTTGAGCTCTTTTGCAGCACAGCTGGAATTATAAACTTGCGTAATATCAGACTAAATCCTTCAATCCTTCACAGTTTGAAGGAGCAGTTTTAACAAACAGATCACATAATAAATCATTTCAACATAAAATGATGTCAAATTACATTATTATTATTATTAGCAGTATCCTTCCTGTCAAGTGTTTGTACCTGATGGAGGAGTGAGCCAGGTCTTCATCGGTGCCGATCGCTCTGAGGACGTACGATGGCTCCAGAGACGCCGACGTACAAGCACTGCACCCACACAGACACACAGACGTTCACTCGTCTTTAACAAGGAGCAAAACCCGCCTTAGATGATTCAAAGTTATGGTCTGACCTTCCAGATGACAGAGCAACATCCTTCAGGGCCATCAGGAGACTCTCTCCCTCCACGTAGGCAAATGAAAGGTTTATGCAGCCTGCAGATGTAAACAGAGTAAGATTAGTCCAACACAAGACAAAGTGCTTAAACCTTTCTTGGTGGTTAAAAGTGATTTTAGAGATAAAATGACACCTCCAAGCTTAGATTAGGGTGAAATTGAACTTGTGCATTGACTAAGATGGTTGTGGATCAGACGAGGGTTAAAAAAAAAAAGCAGAATATCATTAAACGCTCTGCATAAACGTTCAGACAAACATAAACGTGACTTCACCGGGGTAACGCTGTTCTGGGTCTCCATTCATGATGACTTGGGGAATCTCAGACATGATCTTCTGGACCAGGCGATTAGCAAGCATGGACACTCTCTGGTGGTCATACTACACACACACACACACACACACACACACACACCGAGGTTAACAAGTGGTTCCTGGGTACAAAGCGTGTTCGGTCAGGCTCATAAGGTTATTTGACCTCCATCTCCTTCTGGGCGATGCTGCAGGCAGCTCCCAGCCCAACAACCAGCGGGGTGGGAACGGTGCCAGAGCGAAGACCCCTCTCCTGCCCGCCCCCACTCTGCAGCGGCTCCAAACGGACTCGCGGCCGGCGACGAACATACAAGGCACCCACACCTGTACACAAACGTGCATTACAAATTTACCCTCTATGCTGGTTAGCACGTGAAGCATCGCAGGGTCAAAAAGCTGCTTTCGGTTCAAAAAATGCATCTTAAATTGTGTTTGTTTTGACACTACTTCATGTTCCTCTCCCAAAAGTTGACTCAAGTTTACTTTACCCTTGGGATGAGAGAGGTTTTGAAATTCACTTCTCATTTTAAAACGGGTGACGATGCACCAACAATAAGTGTAACCTACTGATGCCAACAATCCCTAACCTTTGGGTCCGTAGATCTTGTGACCACTGATGGACATCAGGTCAACCTTCCAGTCGGAGACACTGATGGGAATCTTTCCAACAGCTTGAGCAGCATCCGTGTGGAAAAAGACTCCTTTGGATCGACAAATCTGGCCTGAAAAAAAAAGAAGCTCCATCAGTCAGTAGCCCCAAACAAAAGTTTAATTAAACGATTATCAGAATCAGCTTTATTGTCATTGCACCGAAGTGCAACAAAATTACATTTCAGTACAGCCCAGCCAAGTAAAACACAAACAGACATGGGTAGACGGAGGTGTCTGAGGCTGCGGCCTCGTGGGAGGCGCTGCCCTTTGTCGTTTCACGAAACAAGGGCTAATATTTTTATTGATGCATTAAAAAAAAGTGAGTTTCCATGGTTACCAATTTCTTCGACGGGCTGCTTGACTCCAATCTCGTTATTGACTGTCATCACGGACACCAGTGACGTGTCGGGACGGATGGAGGCCTCCAGCAGCTGCGCACAGAAACACCAACTCAGAGTTTACACTGTGGTGTCTGCAAGATATCAGTCTGTACAGGCTTCTTGCAGTACCTCCAGGTCCAGCAGTCCATTCTTCTGCACGGGCAGGTAAGTAATGTTGAACCCTTCAGCCGCCAGAATTCGACACGAGTCCAGGACACATTTATGCTCGGTCTGTGTGGTGATCACATGACCCTTCTTGGCCTTGTAGAACCTGGCCACGCCCTGCAAGAGAGGACCTGGAGAGTAATCGCAGGTTTGGATCCGATTTTCTTCAGCTCATCCTTGAAGGATTTTCCTTACAGAGTTGTTGTTTCTCAGTTTGTCTTCCTGTTTCATTTAAATACTTAAAACTAATAAGTGTGGAGGCACTTCTGTTAGGTTACAATGAGTATGTGCTCTGTAAGATACTTTTACTAAGAAGTAAAAATAATGTTTTTGTAGGAAACAAGAGAAATGTTAGTGACAGCAGCAGGAGATGTTTGAGTGATGACAATGATGATGAAGAGGAGTTATATTGGTACCTTAATGGCCATGTTGTTGGACTCTGTGGCTCCGCTGGTGAAGATGATTTCTCTGGGATCGGCTCCAATGAGATCAGCAACCTGCTGCTCGGAGGAACGAACAGCTCACAGTCAACAACTACGCTCATTTACACGCGCTGCGGTGGAAAAGCTCATTACTGTTGAATTGGTTGAAGCAAATAAAACATGGCCACTCGCTACAATGATGCCTAAAATAAAAATTTTCTAATGCTCAAATTAATGGTTTCATATTTTGTTTCTTAACATCGCAGCTCTCCAAGTATGTTGTGGCAGTTTGTGCATATCTACGATACACTGCAAAACAAACTTACCTGCAGGTACAACTAATGTAATGTACGGTATATTTAACTGTAACTATATTTTAATCCGTATCGAAACTGCTTGGAGAAACAAATCTCCAACAGACTGTTTCTTTGTGACAATGTTTGGGTTTTACACCTTTACTCTTTAACCTTGAAGATCTTAACATTTTAAGGCATTTTTCTGAGGATAGATATGCATAGGCCTGTCACGATAACACATTTTGCTGGGTGATTATTTGTCTCAGAAATTATTGCGATAAACGATAATATTGTTTGACATTTATATTTGCGTTGTATCGCGGTGCAATGCCAATAAAGTTTATTCTGATTCTGAAATTTGACAATTAGTAATTATTGTCAAATTTAAGAAGAAATATTGGTTAATTTGTTTTGAGTGCAGTACTTTTTTTGAGCATTGGATGGCAGTAGAAGACTATTTGAACCAAAGGATGGATAGTGAGGGAGCGAGCAGCGTGTCTCTTTAAGAAAAATGGGAGGGAGGCCCCTTGACGTGACATGGGCTCTCTCTTCAGTTCTCAAAATGACGGACGCTCGGTGTGGTTTGAGCTCTTTAGCATAGAATTTTTCACACAAAGCTTTTAATAAAAATCATTAAACAAGTTCTCAGCTTCTTTTTGCAGAGAAAACTTTTTACACGAAGGCACGAGTTTCAACCGTGAATTTTGGAGCTTAGACAAGACGGAGGTTTTTTCCCCTCGAGGTCAGCCTGTTAGCTTAGCTGCTTTTAACGAACCAAAAACACGATTTTGGATCATTAAAATTAATTTTAAAGAGAAAAGAGAAAGGAAGGGGTCAGTGAAGAGCACCGGAGCTGAGCCTTTTTGTCATCCAGCGTCCAGTAAAAAAAGAGACAGGAAGAAACGATAAAGCCGATAAATGAAAATGAGGTCGCCAATTTGCATTTAACATGCGATTATTTGATTTATTGTTTATCGTGACAGTCCTAGATATGCATAAATATTATAATTTGAATTGTGAAGCCAAAAAAAACTACAGCATTCCTTTACACTATAGGGCAAACGAAAAAGCATAGTTGCTAAAAACTTATAAGTCTAAGGAGAAAACATTAATCCAAAACTAACAGCAACGCAAAACAAATAGCTGAAAATTCCTAATAGAGTTATTTGTATGAAAATTTATTTTTGAATTCAACGTTGGTTATCATTACACTGTATAAGTGTATAAAAAAAAACAGACAAGAAAAGCAACCACTGCCATGAAAGTAAATAGAAAGGACTTCAGATTATTTCTATAAACTGAACGTCTCTGTACCGTCCTGGCTTTCTCCATGGCGCGCTCACTCTCCCAGCCGTAGGCATGTGTCCTGGAGTGTGGGTTACCATAGTAGTTCACCTGGTAGGGCAGCATGGCATCCAGCACTCGAGGGTCCTAAACAAACAAACAATAGGAAGGAAATTAAGAATAAATCACTCAATAGCTGAAGAGCTCCAAACATTTTCATCCACAATAAAAACCAAATAGACACAAGTTAACCCAATCAGTGTCTCTAAATGCACAAATTTTGATTTTAAATGGCAAAACAAAGACGTATGTGAAGACATGCTGTCCACATGGGCACAAAACAACTAAATACAGTAGTAATATCTATCATAAAAGCAATGTTACATAAATACATGAAGAGATGCAGCTGTAGAGGATGTAAATAAATGTCTTAACATTGTTGCCACAACAAAAGGAGCAACCGATACATTGTTGGAAGGTCTAAATGTGCAGTAAAACAATCTACCATGACTTATTAGCTAATTGAGCCAACATCGGTAACCATTACCAAGGGAGTGGTCGCCTGGAAGTCCATGTAAAGAGGCCGCAGCTCATCTTTCCCCAGCTCATATTTCTTGATCAACTCTGCAGCAAAAAAAATTTAAATTAAAATTTATTTTGTGGCATTTTAAAGTCTAAAAGTATCTCACAGAATGTAATTTAATGACTGCTTAGCAATCCCAAGAGATATAATCTGAAAAGCCCCAAAAAACTTATTCACCTAACAACTGACCCATGAACCAAATGTTCAAAATAATATTTAACTGTGATCACAGCCCCTTTTCTTTTTGTCTGAAGCAAAATAAGTTTACAAAAGTTAAGAGTTTAACTTTATTCTTATATTTATAAGATTTTTTTTTTCTTTTCAACTACAACACTCCATTTGTAAAATAACCATAAAGACAACAAAGTAGTATTTATACAAAGTATCTTGAACAACAAATATTTCAGTTGCAGTGTTATTAAAATTTTTTTTAATTTAGAAATACAAAAATCAACTTTTGATTTTGAATTTTCCACAACAAATAGGAATTTTCTTACAAATATTTCAAGTTTCTATATTAAAATATATTTTATGGAGTCTGATTTTTATTTTTTTTTTTTTTAATAATCCATATTGGTGGTGACTTAGCATAGCAATTAAAATATAATCATAAAATTAAATAATAAAATATTTATTTTTGATAAACGTTAATTACCAGAAATTAAAATGACTGGCCATTATTTAGATCCCGTTTGCAATTTAGTTTTTTTTTTTGTTTTAAAGTGTGTAAAACAGTATTTGATGCACATTTTTGGCCTAAACACACTCCGAATACCTCAACGATTTCCACTCAATTCACAGGTGTTGTAAACTTGCATGTACCCCCTCCAAACTGCGTCACTTCGGAATTAGCTAAATGCTAGCTTCCCTGAGGGAAACGAACAGGCCAGTGAACTCCTGGTTTTGTTACCTTTCTGCACGGAGCCGGCGGCTGCTCGTTCAGTGACCTGCCGGAAAAGAAGCCACGAGGTCGGCCTCAGCAGCCGGGAGCAGACGGTCCTTCCCGGGGAAAGCATCTGGTCGGCAGGCTGTCTTCAGTTTAAGACCCGCTGAGCTCGGTTAACTCGCACTCGTTGCCTGCAAACAAAAAAAAAAAAAAAAGCGAACTTATTTGTACTTATTCAATCAGCCAGTTATCGTGGGGTTATGAAAACCATTTTTAAAAGTTAAATGCGTGCAAGGTTCTGATTTTAAACACATCGATGTCAGCCGCTTACGGTTGAATCAACATCAAAGCTAGCTTCCGGTTTTGACTTTCAAAATAAAAGTCTTAGCAAGCGCGCAAAACAAGTCACGAGCGCGCCCACACCTCGTTGCGTTAAATATGAAATAACTTAAAACTAAACTACATTTAATCATTTTAAACGAGACATCTAAAACGTATTGATGCGAAAACAAATTAGACGTTATTATACAGGGCAGTGTATTTTAACTGCACAGACAAGGAAAAAAACAAAAACTCACCAAACGGCGGCTCCTAGAGTTGATAGTTGGAAGAAGAATGTTGCATCGTTTAACGTAATGTGCAACTCTGTCTTCTTTTTACATTTCCTGCTTCTGTCTCCGTTACTCAACCTTGTACCAGCATGCACGTTTTTGTTTTTATGATGTCGTAAACACCGGAAACGGAGGGCGGGACTTCCTGCAAAATGTCTGATCTCTCATTGGCCCAACTGGATTGTTTCCGTATTGTTTTAACAAAGTAAAGGCATTTTGTATTTTTATACAGGCGATTGTTGACAAAAACGTTTTTTTAATTTTTTACTTTAATAGTCGTCAATTTATATTTGAATTTTTTTTCACTTTCTTATGTTATCCAAGTATTTTGAATGGGTGTACTGCTACTATATGCTTTGTTTTTATTAAATAAACACAAAATACATTCAAAATAGGAAAATATATTGGCCTTCAGTGGTACTGTAAATCCCACAATATGCCTGATTTAAATTAGCCATCTGTGCTTATACATGTGGAATAAAGTATGCAGAGAAATATACGTTGTTTACATAAAGTGCAAACCAGCATTTCAGAATAGTGCTGTATATGAATATATCTTAAATAACAATTGAGGCTGAATCCTGGCCGAGACCTGGGTGGAGTTTGCATGTATATATATATATATATATATATATATATATATATATTATATATCTTTCTGTGACAAACTGTGCCGAGCGAAGTCGAACCGTGCTGTACCAGTACTAATGGAAAAGAGACATATGTGGCCCTGTGATGGACCTACACGGGTGTCCCTCTCATGTACAGCGATGGGCACCGCAGCGACCCAGAAAAGAAGAAGCGGGTAAAAGATAATGGTTGGATGGAATTTGAGAATAATGTTCCTCAACAGAAAACTGGGAAGGCTTTGAATGTCCCAAATTCTAAAGTTCAAATATCATCAAAAGGTTTAACTCCTCAGTTTCAAAACTTGATACGTCCAAATGTGAATAAAATATGACTTGATGAGATTTAAAAACATTGCGTGTGATGGACTGGAGACCTGTCCAGGGTGTCCCCCACCTATTGCACAGACCGCTGGATATGAGGACCAGTGACCCAAAAAGGAAGAAGCGTGTGCAAGATGGATGGATGGATAACTAGTAAACTCTTTGAAATGACCCCATTTGATATAGTTCGGTTTTGTCTTTTTGTTTTTGATTTTATACTTTGTAATGAACAACTTGAAATTACATTTAATTAAAACAGTTTAGTCTACAAAACTTTCAGATTTGCACACACTCACTTTTCCATCCATCCATCCATCCATCCATCCATCCATCCATCCATCCATCCATCCAT